GCTCAACTCGACACGGAGTGCGCGCATGCCGCTGCCATCGAGGCTCTCCTGCAGGCGGAACCAGATGTCGTGGATGTGAACCAGGCGGCGGAGGCTCAACTTGAGGCGGAGCGCGCGGATGCCGCTGCCATCGAGGCCCTCCTGGAGGCGGAACCGGACGTCCTGGACTTGAACCGGGCGGCAGAGGCTCGACTCGAGCAGAGCGCGCGGATGCCGCTCTCATCGACGCCCTCCTGCAGGGGGAACCGGACGTCCTGGACTTGAACCGGTTGGCGGAGGCTCGACTCGACGCGGAGCATGCGGATGCCGCTGCCATCGAGGCCCTCCTGCAGGCGGAACGGGACGTCGTCGACTTGAACCGGGCTATGCTCTCGTCCGTGCAGAGCGCCCGCACGCTCCGCTTGAACGAGTAGCTGGAGGCCGAGAACAACCACGGTGCGGAGACACACGTCGACAGCGACGGTTGGTTCGCGCCGGCAGCCAAAGACGACAATGTCGTCTCTTTCCGCGAGCAGGGATAGTTTTTCTTTATGTTGTTGTTTTTATGGATCTTTTGCTGTGTGAAAACATATATTTGTTTTGCAAGTCGCCTGACTTGGGTCAGTCTACCATTTCAGGCTGTTGGATGAATATCCTACGTTTCCTAACCCTTCTTTCCTTCTTCCTCACCTCTTCTTCTTCCCCAACAGACCACCGCACGGGCCGTATGGATACTCCCCAACATGCGGTTGGATAAACATACTCTATGAACGAAAATTATGTGTCAGTGATAGGATGGCTGAGTTTGGTTTATTCACATGCGACAACACGTGTCAGTGAGAGTGCGTTCCCTTGGTTGGGTTTGCGGCGTGCAGGAGCGACTGTGTGAGGGTGCGGTGCGACCACGCCGTGTAGGAGCGACCTTGTGAGGGTGCGGTGCGACCGCGGTAGCCGTGCTCAAGTGTACCTCCTTCTCATTTTAAAAACTTTAGGCAAGCTTGGCAAAAATGTGTGGCGAAGTTTGGCAATGCAAGGCCTAGAGCCAAACAGGATAAGTATGTACGTACTAGGAGTACTAGTGTTAAAAAAGAAAGGCGGAGTTTTCCTGCGCGGGATTTAATCGATACAAATCCTCGTTTCACGTGTCAATTAATGCGTATTTTTTTCTCCAAAGACCAAAGAGCTAACCATTTCACTCCTTGTCGCTTGATTAATGCAGCGCCATGCAAACCAACCTTCTCACTTCCGCATGCATGCATGTCGTCTCTCTCTCCCCTGTCCATCTCTCTGCACGCATGCGCCTCTCGCTCTCTCTAATGTTTCTGCATGCAAGCAGCTCTCTCTGCCTTGGGAAGATGCGAAGCACATGGGAAAGAGAGATGGGATTACTGCAGGCACGCATGCGGTGGAAAGGGATGGAGGGCCTGGTTGGAAAGAGCAGCAAAAAAATGCCAATGCGCAGAGCATTGCAGGGAAAACGAAATTTTCTTAGACGCAGACAAAAAAGGACCGGAGGGAGTACTACTAGGAGTACTAGTGCGGTGAGATGGTTTCTCGAAGAAGACGATGGAGAAGTGGAGTCAGTGAAGAGTGAAATGATGGTTGCTTCGTCCGTGCTTTTGTGATTTGACGCCTCACTGCTTTGTGATTTGTGATAGAAGGGACAGGGGAGTAGACTCTGTGCTCTATACTATACTACATGCGTCCAAGCATGGGAGAAAGAGGAGAGACGTTGCATTTTTCTATTCCTTCAATCAATCAATCAATCAAGGAGCTTCGGTTCCATCTTTTTGGCTTTGGCAACACCGTCCACAATGGTTCTGATGATGCCAAAAGCTATTTTCACATTTGGCTACACATTGTGGTTGCCCTTAACTGTACCACTTGGTTTTGCTCCTGTGTGCTATCTATACAAATCTCAATTATATTGATCTAAAAAATTATAGAATCAAGATTAGTAAAAAGGAGGTGATTTTGTCGTGTGGATGGCGGGGGAGGTTTCTTATTTGAGCAATGCTACATCCACGTAATGGTTTACGTAAAGTTATGAACTGATGTGATGTGGGACTATTTGATTGGATTAAAGGAGATGATTAGGCCCACCCCACCTGAAAATCAGGGGGGCATATATAGATTAGATGGAAAGTATACGTAGCAGCTACGTAGCCCTTTGTAAGTCTAGGATTAGGCTTCTTATTTTCAGAGGACGTTGTCCTCGCGGTTTGCTAACATGCGGTCCCACGTGTCAGTGCTTTACCAAGCCGATCCGCGTCCCACATGAGGTAGAACAACGGCAGAACCAACACGTGGTTAAGTTGAAGAAGATGAGGGAGAAGCAGATTCAGCAACGAGTGAAATGATGGTTGCTTCGTCCCTCCAACTTAACTGCGGGAAAGGTGCAGCTTTGTGATTTGACGCCTTATTGCTCATTACTACGCTGGCGCCATGATTGGGGTGCTTCACCCCGGCTGCTCTGCACTGTATTCCGATATGGCACGTGGACCCGATAGCTTGATGTCCCACATGTCGGCGAAAGGGACTATAAGATTTATGAAAGCGAGTGCTCCACTCTTACGACGGAGGAGTAGACGACACGACGGCCCAGTGAACTGTCACTTGTACTATATAGTACTACAGTTTTGCTGTTTCGCACAATCCATCGATACAAACCCGATTAAACAGGAAAGGGCAGGATTTTTCCCGTGCGGTAGATGATAATGGCCATACATTTCAAAGGCAATTTTAACGTATGCAAACTGAATAATTATAAGTAACAATATGATATCTAGTAAAACTAAAAACACATATGATTTATTGTGTTAGAGTGTAGTAGTAGTGTTGTATTGCATAGTTGTTAGATGTAACATGCGAGAACGTGTAGAGATGTAGTTTTGGAGGGCCTATAGAGAGAAAAGCGTAATACGGTCACCGAACTTCAGAATAAGCTGATTACGGTCACTATATACGTTTTGTGGTGATTATATGGTAACTTGCTCAAAGTTCAACATTGGATTGCACTCTGTTGACCGGCCAAATAGTCTGCGTGGCGCCATGTTGACTAGTTAAATTAACCACGTTCCTTGTGGGTCCCACCTATCAGTTCTCATAGGAAAAAGGTCAGATAAACACAAATTTACGCAGGCGCGACAAGGCTCCAACCCGTGCGCGGGAATCACCTGGTTGTGTATGTGTTTGTCAGAGCCTGATGTGTGCGCATGCACGTGTAGGTTGAGCACTTGAGCATGAGAGTGTGTGTTGGTCGTGTGGTGTACTGGTGTGTGCATGCATGCGTGTGTCTGTGCGTGTGAGTGTTGCGTGCGTGCGTGTGAGTGTTGCGTGCGTGGCTGCATGTGTACGTACTGGTGTGTGCATGCATGTGTGCGTGTGAGTGTTACGTGCGTGGCTGTGTGTGTACGTGTGAGTGTTGCGTGCGTGCGTGGGTGCATGTGTTTGTGTGAGTGTTGTGTGGATGCAGTTCGTGTGCATGCATGCGTGTGTGTATAATCACCACACCAGCTCCTGTGTGTTAAAACAGACGGCTCAGCATGCCAATACAAGGCCACCTTGTCCGCTGTGCCTGCGGTCATGACTTCGAACCACCGTCCAAATATTTTTTTGTCGTTTGTTTTCATTCTTACTAGTAAATCTGGGAGTGGTTTTAGAAAAACTGGTTTAAATGGGTTGGTTTTTATTATGGGCTTGATTGGTTTAGGTCTTATTGGGCTGAGCCTTTCTTAAGTTTGGTTTGGTTTCAGTTTTGAGAGGAACCAGTTTGGGTATAGTTGGTTATGGGCTGAAACCATTTGATGCATTATGGGCTACAAACCGTGGGTACAACCCGGTTCGCTGCGTCCAGTTACCCACACACTTCCCTGATCCGGTGTTGCCCCTGTCTGGCTGTCTCTTCCCCCGCGCCGCCCCTGCTCCCCTGCCTCTTCCTTGCGCCGTCGCCTCGCCGTCACCCTCCGGCGCCGCCCCCTCCTTGCACTGCCACCTCGCCGTCACCCTCGGGTGCCACCTCCTCCTTGCGCCGCCGCCTCGCCGTCACTTCGTTGCGCCACTGCCTCGCCGTCACCCTCCGGCGCCGCCCCCTCCTCCGCTGCGCCACCTTCCCTTCGCCAGCAGGTACCCCCCTCCCTGGCCTCTCTCTCTCTCTCTCTATCTCTCTCTTTCTCTCTCTCTCTCTCTCTCTGACCGGCTCCTCCTGTTGACCAGGTCCTGCTCCTCCCGCAACAAGGTGCTCCGGCGGCAACGCCGGCAAGGTGCTCCTGCTGGTCCCCTCCTCGTCTGCAACAACAATAACAGCAACTAGGTTGATTCCACAACTTGGGCATTAGTTGGATTCATGATGCAGGATATACAGATCCAGAGTATTCCATTTGTTACACTTTGCAGTCACAGCTTATGTAGGAATGATGGCTTTCTAGCTTTAGGTAGCCCCTTTTTTTGAGGAAAACATAGATAGCCCCTAAATGATCTATATATATAGCATTGTTAACACACTTTAGCTGCTTCAATATTCTTTCTGTACTTCTATAACCAAGACCTACCAAGTAAAATTACTATGTTTCACAAGTAGTACTGGTTCAAAATTTGACCTGTAGAGCAGGCACTGTGGCCTCAGATCTCGGCTAGCATGCGTCTAGTGCAATCGATTTGGCAAACTCATTAGACTAGTGAAGTAAGGAAATTCCAGATCATGTTGATCATGGCATCAACAAATTGTATGATGATTTGTTGTGTAATTCATATTGATCATGGTTATTTTGCCATAATAAGATTGGGATGATTGTTGAGATATGAGGCGTGAACTTCTTTATGTACACTATACTCTATAACATTTTAATGTCGGCATACATACATTGTACTAAACCCAACATCTTTTTATCCTGTCGGCAGAGGAACTAAAATAAATGTCTGGTTCTCTCTTCTTTCACTACCTTCTTGCTCTATATTCTACCATTTTCTAACAGTAAGTTTCCACATATTTTCCCCCTGCAGTGTGCTATAAAATTTGAGGCATGTCTATGTCAGAGGGTTCGGAGACTGCTGATTCCATGGATGAGGATACGAGTCAAATACCACATGTTAGAAGGTCCAAGGTATGGGAGCATTATGAAGTAGATTTGGTTCTCATAGATGGTGATTTCAAGGCTGTGTGCAAATACTGTGGAGTGCAACTTCACACCAAGTTTGGGACTAGAAGTTTGAGGACCCGTATTGCAGAGGCTTGCCGATCAATCCAAGATGCTTGCAGACAGAGGTTTTTGTTGACCATGAAAAAAAAACCACCCGAAGGACTTTTTGTGTTTGATGAAAAAGTTTTTCGTGAATGCATGGTCAAGTATTGCGTCCATGCTGAGATCCCCTTTCTTAAGTTTGAAGATCCCCACCTTCAGCCATGGATTGACTCAATGCAGCCAGCGTTTCAAATCAAGGGTCGTCACACAATTCGTGATGATGCAGTGAAGATGTATAAGGGAATGAAGAAAGATATCGAAGTAGAGCTACAAAATATGGATTCTCGCATTTGCTTAACATCTGACATGTGGACATCATCACAGGACTTGGTCTACATGTGCATCACCTCCCATTATATCAATGCAGAATTCAACTACAAGAAGAAGACCATAAGTTTCGCAGAAGTGAAGTATCCCCACACAGGCAATGCGATAAAGGAAGAAATAGTTCGTTGCTTAACAGAATGGGGAATAAGAGGCAAATTATTCACTTTGACACTAGATAATGCCAGCAATAATACTAATGCATGTGAGGAGTTAATAAAATATCACAAACATGAGCTGCTCCTTGAAGGTCAACATTTGCATGTCAGGTGTTGTGCGCACATTCTTAATATCTTGGTTCAGGATGGAATGAAAATAATCCATGAAGCTATTGACATGATACATGAGCTGATGAAGTATATTGACTCTTCTCCTTCAAGACTTCAAGATTTCAATACAATTGCAAGTGGGATGGGTCTACGTGCAAAGAAAGGCATCTCTGTTGATACACCAACCAGATGGAACTCAACCTGGAAAATGCTTGTAGAAGCATTGACGTACAAATCTGTTCTCACTAGTTATGCCAACAGAAAGATGATAGATTCTCCAAGTGAGGAGGAATGGGAGAAGGCAAAAGTTATTTGTGAGTTTCTAAAAGCTTTTGAAGATCTTACTTTGATTGTTTCAGCTCATAGGAAGCCAACTTCACATAAGTTTCTGCCAATTGTGCTTTCTATTCGCCATGCATTGAAAGATCCGGGTTGGCATACCTCTGATGTGTTGAAGGAATTGGCGGCAGTGATGCAAACGAAGCTTGATAAATATTGGGATCCCGAGGAGAAGGAGAATGCAGATCCTAACCGTCGTAGAAAAAGCAAGGGCATTGAGTTTAACCATGCACTTGTCATTGCTACATTCCTGGATCCAAGGAGGAAACAAGATTACTTGGATTTCTTCTATTGCAAGTTGTCTACCGACGGGGAGCAAATTACAAAACAAGTGGAGATTGCTTTAGAATGGGTGAGAAAGTATGTCAAGGAATATGAGCTACTTGCAGCGACAAGCACTGCACACTCAACACCTTCTAGTCAAGGCAATACCATTATTGGATCACCTGTTGCAGGGAAAAGGAAGTTGGAAGAAGAGTTTGCCCAGCACAAGTCTCGTCAGAGGTCACGTGTACACAAATCCGAGCTTGATGCATACTTGGAAGAAGCATCCGAGAAGGTCGGTGATGACTTTGATGTCTTGGGTTGGTGGAAGAGGCGTGGCAAAAAGTTTCCTATATTGGCATCTATGGCCCATGACTTTCTTGCAATTCCTTTGAGCATAGTGGCATCTGAATCAGCCTTCAGTTGTGGTAAGAGGATACTAGGCGACAAGAGAAGCTCTTTGAACCCTGATATGCTGGAAGTTCTTGTTTGTGCTAAAGATTGGTTGTTCAAACCAAAGGAGGGTGAGTTAACCGCTTACATTTTGGTTCTACTACTTGTGTAGAATGGGATATATAAAACTTGCAGTATCGAAGTGTTCATATGCCTTCAAATTAATCCTTTGTTTCATTTGTAGGAGATGGACAGTAAGCACACGGCTAAAAACATGAAACCAAGAAAAGGTAAAAATATGATCCTGATCATCGATTTTCCTTTGCCTTGCTCCTTTTTTCGTTATAGTGATTGGACAAGCAAAACCACCGTCGCTATGCGAGTAAACATTGCCAAGACTAGTCTGTAGAACTATTGGACTTTGTTTTGATATGACACTCTTGACAAGAAGTGAGTGATGAATAAAGGAGTGATGAATCAGCTAGTCCATAGGCATGTCATAAGTTCATTGAATTTGTTGGCTGGAACACAGCCGGGTCTTGTTGCCCTATTTCTTCCTCTGTTCTTGGAATGAGTGTTCATTTCGTCTAGCATGTAATAAATCCACCAAAACTTGTAATAGGAGTTGCCAGCACTATTTTTTCGTTGATATATATATATATATATATATATATATATATATATATATACTAGGCTTCCAGTGATAAGCAAGTGTTTTCGAAGTGAAATGATGTCCATGTTATTTTGCAGGTCATGTCCATTCTCATGTTCTCGGGTGCTTGTGTCGGGGCCAGCGTGATGATCTTTTTCATGAAGGATGTGAACTTCCGCGCCGAGTACTAGCGGCTGCCGTAGCCATGGCCAAGCTTGTTACATAGATTGTCTATTTGATAGCCCATCTTTGTTTAGATGATGTGGACTCCTGATGCTTTGGTTACTTGTGTTGTTTCTTTGTTAATTTCATTTCTTTAGAGGTCCGAGGAGTACAACTAGAACCCCGTCTCCAGATGCCCGGTCTGCTTGCATGTCTGGTTTAAACCACACAGTAACTGAAATCCACTACCCCCTAGAGTTGAACTGTCAGTCTTAAGTGCAAGACACAGTTATTGTTGGCCACCCTATCATTGCGCTATGTTATGTGAATGTTCTGAATTTCTGCTCACTCTTTTATAATCTGCAACTCATTTTTCTCTTCCTTTTTCCTGCTAGTTCTGTTACAATCTGTATTTCTCTTTGCCTTTCAGTATGTCTGTCTGTCTGTAAACATTCTGAATTTTTGCTCGTTCTTTCTATGATCTGTGGCCCATGCTTTTCTTCTTCTGCTCATTCTGCTATAATCTGAATTTCCTTTGGTCTGTCTCTGTTAGTCTGTACTCCCTCCGTTCCATACTCCGTGTCCGTGGTTTTAGATCAAACTGAACTAAAACCACGAATAACAGAGCTTCTATCTGTGCCTCTTCATCTCTTCTTCACATCATTGAGGGGATGATCCTGTTTGGGGCTACATCTGCAATCTGTGAGGCTAAACCCTTACGTTGCTCTTTCCACATTCTGCATTTTTCTTCTTCTATTCAGGCTTCAGGCTGGAGAGGGTCTGAACCTTTCCATAGTTCACTAAATCTGCTAACCTTTACGAGATCAAGGGCGTCCATTGACAACCTGCCCAAGGTCAGCATCACCGAGGGCAGTAAGTTGGTTCAGTGTGCTTGCTGTTTTTTGGTTGACTATTAATATAGTGCTTAACCCATTTAGAAACGGTTCTGAACCCATTTATGTAAACAGTTTCAACCCATGGTTGAAGGCTTGGTTCAGTTTGGTTTGGTTAAAATTCCCAGCAAGTTTGGTTTTGGTTGGGTGGCAAGAGAGCTATCGTGGGTTTAGTTTAGGTTCAAGTGTCAAGCTAGCTCGCGTGAGTTTGGTTGAGTTATGGTTCAGGTATCAAACTTTTCTCAGATTTACTTACTAGCAAGATGCCCGTGCATTGCACGTAACATCAAGATGCATTTGTATGACTTGTTTATCTTGTGAGAGAAAAGGATGAACGAGGGAAGGCCTTATTTGCAAATGTGGAGTGGGTACTGTTGGCGTTCTGGGAACGGGGGTCCCCAGACCTGCCTGCCTGCGGCCTGCGGCGTGGCTCAAAAGGGGGCCCAGCACGGCCCATCTTCACCAACACAAACCCAAGACCCTCGCGAGGGGCCAGGCCTCGCGGGGCGGATGACATGGAGCTTCCTCAGGCACGGCCTCATCAGGCTGGCTCACGAGGGGGTGGAGAGATCAAGGCGGGGTACCTCGCGAGGTGCCCGTGACGCAAGCCGTGACGACTCAGGGTGCCAGGTAGGTGCCAGCCCGTGCAGCGTCCTCCTTTCCTCTTTGGCGCAAAGGGGACAAGCGCAGCTGCGAAGTACCGAGGCATCAGGCAAAGGTTGCCATTTCGGTGCAACGAGACCAAGAACAGGAGGACTACGAGATGGAGGTCACTGTGGAGCCCAAGACGGCGTCATCACCAGAGCTTTGCGCATGCGAAGACTACTTTTGTCAGGATAGCTGATACTTGTTGTCCCCCTACAAATTAGCCCGCCATTGTTGGCTTCCTTCCCGCTCGATATTTGGGAAGAGGACCAGGGCCTCTATAAATAGGACTAGCCGCCCACATGGCAAGGGGTCGGCTGGTTGAAAGCAGAGAGAGAGAGATAGAGGAAAAGGCGACTGAGCTCCTCCCTGCAGTTCATCGCCTCAGCCAAGAACAGACCCTCGCGAGGCTGTTCTTCCTTGTATTGTTCATCATCGTCAGCCCAAGAGGCAATCCACACACCACACACTTGAGTAGGGTATTACACCACAACGGTGGCCCAAACCAGTATAAACCCTGTGTCTCTTGCGTTGTTCTTTCGACAGTTTAGATCCTAGCAAGGCGGAGGGGTGCAGGTAGGTAGGAGGCGAAATCTCCGCGCGCACCCTAGTGTTCGAACCTCAAGGGTCTACCGGAACCTGAAATCCGACATTTGGCACGCCAGGTAGGGGTGCGCCGGAATTCGTCTTCCATCACCCCGTTCTCCTCCGACCATCGCGCTCATGTCTGACGATCGTCGGGCCCGCGCGGAGCGCCGGGCCGCCCTCACTTCCCGCGTCGCCCGGACGGCCCCTGTCAGCGGGCGTCCTCGCCGTTCCCCGTCACCTGCCGTCAACGCCGCCACCGGCCCGACGGGGGACGAGCAGCAAGCATCGTCTCAGCATCCATCCGTGCGCCAAGACGGCCGCACCGCAACTCCCTCGCTCGCCCAGTTGGTTCTTCGTCCCTGAAAGCACAAGTGCTCCCCAAGTGGTTTTGATAATTGATGACAACATATCTCTTGTTGGACTAATACTTTTACCTAGTATATTTCAGATAAGTTCAACAATGGAGTGGCATGGACTAAAGGTTGTGGGAACCTCTTCAAGATGCTAAGGACAAAGGATTGGCTAAAGCTTCAAGCTCAGGACTCTTCATTTTACACTTTTAGTGATCCAAGATCACATTGAGTCCATAGGAAAAGCCAATACTATCAAGGAGGGATGAGGTGTTGATAATGAGCCTCTTGCTCAAAGTGCTTAATCATATGCTCCAAAATCCTCAGCTACTTTCCCACTTCCACATATGACCTAAACCCAAAGCCAAACTCGGTCATACCGATTCTTTCTATCCGGCGCCACCGAGTTTCACTTGTCATTTGCCACTGCCAAACCCTAGCAATTCGGTCCTACCGATAAGGATCTCGGTCTCACCGAGATGGGCTTGCAAACTCTCTGTTACCTGTTGCATATCTTCGGTCCCACCGAGATATGCAATCGGTCCCACCGAGTTTGCTTGGCCAACTCTCTGTTTCACTTATTACCCAAATCGGTCCCACCGAGTTTGAGTAATCGGACAAACCGAGTTTTGGATTTTCCCTAACCCTAGCACATCGGTCCCACCGAGTTGTTCCAGTCGGTCCCACCGAGAATCACTAACGGTCACTAGGTTTACTATTTCGGTCCGACCGAGTTTGTTGATTCGGTCCCACCGAGATTGGAAAACTATGTGTAACGGTTGGATTTCGTGTGGAGGCTATAAATACCCCTCCACCTCCTCTTCATTCATGGAGAGAGCCATCAGATTAAGCCTACACTTCCAGCATCCTATTTCTGAGAAAGAACTACCTACTCATGTGTTGAGACCAAGATATTCCATTCCTACCATATGAATCTTGATCTCTAGCCTTCCCCAAGTTGCTTTCCACTCAAATCTTCTTTCCACCAGATCCAAATCCTATGAGAGAGAGTTGAGTGTTGGGGAGACTATCATTTGAAGCACAAGAGCAAGGAGTTCATCATCAACACACCATTTGTTACTTCTTGGAGAGTGGTGTGTCCTAGATTGCCTAGGTGTCACTTGGGAGCCTCCGACAAGATTATGGAGTTGAACCAAGGAGTTTGTAAGGGCAAGGAGATCGCCTACTTCGTGAAGATCTACCGCTAGTGAGGCAAGTCCTTCGTGGGCGATGGCCATGGTGGGATAGACAAGGTTTCTTCTTCGTGGACCCTTTGTGGGTGGAGCCCTCCGTGGACTCGCGCAACCGTTACCCTTCGTGGGTTGAAGTCTCCATCAACGTGGATGTAGGATAGCACCACCTATCCCAACCACGGGAAAAACATCCGTGTCTCCAATTGCGTTTGAATTTTCCAAACCCTTCCCTTTACATTCTTGCAAGTTGCATGCTTTACTTTCCGCTGCTCATATACTCTTTGCATGCTTGCTTGATATGTATTGTGTATGTTGAAATTGTGCCCAAACTCCACTTAAACCAAAAAAGTTTAAAAATTGCAACTTTAGCACTAAGTGTCTAATCACCCCCCTCTAGACACATCTACTTCTAGATCCTACAAGTGGTATCAGAGCTTTGGTCTCCATTGCCTTGGTTTAATCACCATTGGAGGAAGATGGATGTGTCTACTTTAGGGAGTCTTAGACATAGAGTGCCTATTCTTGATGGAGAGTACTTTCATGAGTGGAAAAATGAGATGCTTGTAATCTTCAATCAACATCATTTAAACAAGTATATTGCTAGCCCTTGTGCACCTCATATTGATCCTTTGTATCCTACCCTAGATGAAGATATCGACATGATTCACAATCTTAGAACTATTGAGCTCATCATTAGAGGATTCCCCAAAAATTTGATTGCTAGTTTGCCTACTCTTAATTGTGCCTATACTATATGGAAATTTCTTGAGGAACG